AAGCACTGTCATTGTATAGAACATTTGATCATGTAATTGTAGGGATGAGTATTTGGAGTGTTAAAGTTTTTATTAATGCTGATTCTGATAGGTTTGAAATTTTGACATAACTGTTTTGGTTTTGGAATATAATACACAGCTACTCATTGTGAAAATCTTAATAAATGAAAAGCATTTTGAATTTTGGCAATAGATATTTTGTCATGAACATCTTACATAATGTAAAAAGTTACTCAGAAGACCTAAATTTAAGTTCTGGTTTTGTCACAAATTTGTTATAGAATTCTGGTAAGTCATCTGACTTACTTAAGTTTCAATTCCCTTGTGTCTAAAATTAGCTGGCTAAGAGACATTCTGCAGGGGAAGTAGATGGAGTTGGATCAAAACAGGGGTGGGAAGAGCACAAGGGTCCATGGTGATAGTGCATGGGTGAATGGGTGGTGGGAATTCCATGGGAACTATACCCGAGATGATAAAACATACATTGTATAAAAATGAAGAATGATATAAAATTAAATAAATAAACAAATAAATCAATCAATAAAATTAGCTGGCTAAATGATCTTTAACATGGAGTTAGAATAATAAGGTCCACTGTAGCTCTGGACTCAGAGAGAGTATGTATGTGCTTCTCATTCAGTAAATATTTCTTATATGAACTTAGAGTGATATAATTGTAGCATTTTATGAGTCTATGGTATAAGACTTGAAGAATTTCTAAAGAATATATAATTGTCACAATACAAATATGCACATACCCACTCCTACACACTCATATACACACACATCCAATGAGAAGATACCAAGTATTGAATTTTACGTAGCTCCTTCATTAGGAGATAAAATAAAAGCTTAAAAATAATAATTGGACTCAAGCTATTGGATCAATCTAACTTCTGAATGAAGAGTCAGATTTAAGGAAACATGACTTATTAGAATTTTCAGAAACTAAGATTTAATTGAGATACTTGAAGATAAAAGGAAGTTGAGGAGCTCTCTATCTTCATGCTAATGAAGGAGTACTCTAAGGCAAGAAATTTAAAAATCAACTACATACTTCCATTTTTTCCCTTGGAAGATAAAGACATGCTTGGGCATGTTAGCATTAGGCCAGATTGGTGAAATTTCTTTTTGATTTAAACTTATCTTTAATCTGAGTTTATTGGGTTGCTAAAATTATTCATTGTGGACCTGAATTACCATTTCCCATCAATGTCTCATTTTATAATACTCATTTGCACATCTTTTTGAATCCTCCTTTTCTTTCCACCCAGCTTCCCTCTTTTGCAACCAAAATGTCTTTTGCTCAGATTAAACTCATTTACCTAAAGGAATGAATAAGTGATTATTTCCCAGGGGCAGTTATATTTGAAAAGAAAACCATTTTCTAAATGAATTCCTAATTGGTCAAATTTCAGGCAATTTAACAATCTCATTAGATTTCAGGTGTTCTCCACGTCCCTTAAAACATATAGGTAATTGTCTAGTACAGTAGTTGTTCCAACCTTTAAAGTTATGGAATGCTTGCTTCAAACAAAACCAAGCAGCAGTCCAATGCTGAGAAGAGAGAAGGGCTAAAGCATTTTGGTTGAAGCAAATATGGAGATCCAGAAACTTCCTCATTCACTATTTTTCTCCACCACCCATCACTGCAGAGGTATATGCCCCAGAACAACACAGTAAAAAACAAACAAACAAAGAAACCCCCCACATATTCTCACATAAATATACACATATAAAGTGAAAAGAGTGGACGACATGCAAATAGATAACCCACTCTCAAGTATCCTAATGTGACCTGTGGGTGTCCATTTGCAATAATAAATCACATTCCCCTTTTATTTTTAACACTTTGAGAAAATAGCAAAATGTAAAGTGAACAAAAATAGCAATTTGATTTTATCTATTATCTTTTATTTCTTGTTCATGTTTGAAACTTTATGTGATTGTGTTGTAAAGTAAATATGGTCAAGTAAGTATATTCCTAATGTCAATGTTAACTAATATTATAGCTCCTTTAGGAGAACTGGTTTTCCCCTAATTTGGATTTTCCCTTTCTCAAACTTTGAACTTAATCCAACCAACAAACAATTGCTTTCTCCTCTGAAATAAAAGTTCCAGTGGTATTTTCCCAGTAGAAAAGATTTTGAACAACATGACTTTGGAAAGACCATCCAGATCTACTTTTTTACTGAGCTCCAGACTTGCATTTCTTACCTTACAGATGCTTCCAGACCATTGGTTCCCAAATCAAACTCGTTCACCTTCCGCCAAAACTTACCCCTCCTCTTGATTAAACTTATGCTAATTCAAAACTAATTCAAAAACCATAAAAACAGCAGCCATTAAATTACTGGGACTCTAAACTAGGCATATAAAGTACATCAGGATTTTCAACCTCAGGACTGTTGACATAGGTGAGACTTTGTTGTGGGAGGCTCTCTTGTGCATTGCAGGGAGCTTAGCAGCATCCCTGGCCTCTACCCCCTAGATAGCAGTAGTTCCAATCCTCTCTCCCAATCCTCACCTCCAAAGAGGCTTATTGTAAAAATGTCTCCAGATGTTCCCCACAGTCTGTTGGAGTCAACTTCATTTGAGAACACTGATAAGGATTACTTCTTTATTCCTCACAGATCCCCACAAGGTAGGCATTGTATTTTTATTCCACACTATGCAGATGGCAAAACTGGGCCTCTGAGGAATTTTGAGTTTTGTACTTGGTCATGTGACTGATATGTGGAAGAACTGGATTTCAAAAGACATGTGTCCTCAGTTTTTTCAAAAGCTCTTATCAAGTCACTTTGCTTTTATGAAAGACTGTCCTGAATACCTATTTTTGCTAGCTGAAGGAAAACTGAAGAGAATTTACATGTTTGCAATAAAGCCAAGAGCAAAATGTCTTCTAGTGTCTATTTTGCAGCAGCCATTATGTAGGGGAGCTCATCCCCCAGAGAGAGAGTGGCCCGAAAGCTTTTTCCCGGGAAACTATCAATACTTGGTACAGGCTGTGTAAGCTTTATATCATTATTGCTTTTACTACATGTTAATGTTGTGTTAGGTTAATTTTATGTTGCTAATGTTATTTTAGATTTCATGCGTTATTTGGCAGGATTTTGTAGGTTAAACACTCAAAGAATTTCCATATTAATGAATGCTAATTGCATCATTGATTTCCTAAAAAGTTTCATGAGAAGATTCTGTTTTTGGATATTGGGGGAAATTTGTACTGTAACAACTGCCCTCCTGATGCTTACTTCTCCTGTGCATCTAGCTTTTTTAACCACTTTGTTCTTTGAAATGTCTTGATTTTGCTTCCTGTATTCTATTTCCCATGGCCTTGCCTTAGCTCAAACCTCTATTTTGTACATAGGTTCTAATAACTAGGCTCTCAGGAGCTGGCTTTCTCTATCAATATTATTACATAACTGGACCTCCCTGGTGGCGCAAGGGATAAAGACACAACCCATGAAGCTGTCTGCAACCACTGCAGCATGAGTTCGATCCCTGGCCAGGGAGAAACCCATGTGGGGCAGCAGACCTCTTCTAACTCTCCCACTACTCCCCTCAGCAGTGTATTTCGTTCAATCTACCTGTTCTGTTCCCCACTCTGTCTCTGGTGAATCCTCTCCCTGCCCCCTCTGGTCTGTACCCCAGTTCTTATATGCATAAATAAATAAATCTTTAAAAAATATTATTACATAATTGCCCTTTTGAGAACCCTTCTGTACCTCCATCTGTCCTATAGCATCGGTCTCCAAAGGTAGTCCCAGCAGCATTGTTATCTCCTGAAAATGTACGTACCCGGTGCCCACTGTAGATCTACTAAATCAGAAACTTGAGATGGTTAGAGCCCAGAAGTCTGCTTCAATACATCAACTGTTTGGCTGAAGTTTAGGAACTGCTGCCCTACTTACTTGATAGAGCTCTAACACCCGTGGGTGGCACAAAAGCCCTAACTTGTTTTTCTCCCAAATCCCTGTCTTTCCTCCTCCTGCCTTACCCCACATAGTTGCTGCCATTCAATTTCATTAGCTATCAATCGTGCATTTGTCTTTCTGTTCTACACCTAATAAAATAAGCAAGACAATCCAGCTCCTGATCTGGGGCTGGGGGACTACCACCACCCTCCCCAGGGAGTTAGGTACACACCTTGTCATTTTAAACCACAAATTTCTGCCACTGCATCTTTTTCCTGGTGAGCTTCTGTGTCATTTGTGGCTCATTCTCAAATGTCCCTTTACCTTGAAATAGTCAGAGGGTTCATCGCTAGTTACCCAGAGCAACAAGTAGCCATATACATCCCCTTGTTATTTCACTCACCCCATGTGACATTAGCATGGGTCTCCTAGTATACATACAGGCCAGGTGAGGGAAGAGTCTTCTCTCACCTTTGGTTAGCCAGTGCTATGGCAACGCTGATCCTCACACAGGATCATCAGAGAGCTTTTAAAATATGTAGGTGCTGGGACTTTCCTGTAGACCTACAGGCATCGAATCTTGCAAATGTCTATCTTAAAAATCATCTCCACAACTAGCTGAATCATTGCACATTGGCTTGCACAGAGCAGGTGTTTAATCAGTATTTCTCAAATGTCTGATTTATTACTCAACAAATCTTGCTAAAGAATCACCTCTACCTACCCTTCACCTTCCTTCTCCAGTACTTTGCTTTTGATTTTACTTTTCATTTCCTTTAACTTGAGTGCATCTGCACAGCAACAAAGCAGCAACCACTGCTGCTAAAAGGGGAATTTCTGTTTAGATAATTTTAACTATTGAGCTAATCGCTGGCATTTGAAAGGAAATATCTTGTTCACAGCCTCAAATATCCAGCAGTAACTCAAATTGGAGTTACCCGTTAACATTCCTTATGTATCTTTCAGGTTCTACTCTCCCTGCTGCTCCTCGCTCACTTAGGGTTTCACATAGATTTGTCAAAGTCTGGGGCAAGCACCAGGCCAGGGCTGCAGCTATTTGTTGTGATAAGGTCAGAGGGCGTCTCCTTGGAGGCTGAAATGGAAATTTGTTGGGAGCAGTCTGCAACCGGTAACCAGGAATCGAAACTCAGCTGTTAAAACCGCTGTCCCTGTGGGAGGGATCGCCTCTCCAGACTCACTAAGCCTTCCAGCCTCCTTCCTCCAGCAGCTGCAGCGACCCGGGACCGCGGGCCCTGAGCCATGTCCTCCCACAGCAAAGTGGTAGGCTCTAGGCTCCGCGCCAAGAGCCCTTCCCAGAGTAGACTGGTGCTGCGATGGTAAGTCTTGAAAAACCTGCCCTGAGAGGTAGGGGGTGGGCGTCCAGAACCCAAACGTACTCACAGCTTTTCTTAATTCTTGGAGCCCAATATCAGGGCTTGAAACAAAAGCTCATTTGTCTCAACAAAATCACCCTGACTTACTGTCCATATTGAGCGCGCCAATCTGCAGTCCTTTACTAACTCTACCAACTCCCATTCATTTCAAGAATATTGCTTGCCAGAGCTTGTGGCTGGTTACAGCATGGAAAACTATCGGCGCGTAGAAACTGCTGGACTTCATAGTAATATTTCAATTATGTCCTAAACAGCTGTTATAATTAGTATGAAAACAATTTCCCCCTTCTAGTAAAATTAATCTCCCCCCCACCCCACTTCACTTTCACTCACCCTTGCTCCTCGACTTCTAGCACATGAAAGAAGCCCTGGTTGCTAAGGAAGCTTGACCGATAAGCAGTACATTTTCTTTCATTTCTTAACTTTTGAAAGAATTCATAACTACCAGACTTTTCCTGTTATTCAGGTTAGGATCACTCTTAAATGGGGAGGATGATCTGGATGATTCCAGTTAGAGATTGCTACATTCCTCTCCTCAGAATAAGAGGTGTCTTGCCTCAATAGGCGGTCACTAACTTCCAGTAACCTGCATCTCTGTCTAAGCTGTAGCACTTAATGTAACAGAGGTTGTGGGTGTATGGTCTCATGTTGATGATAAACATCCTTTAAGTGCCTTCTTTTTTTTTTCCTATTAAAAGGCATCTACATAGATATAATTGTTTATTTGCAAGTTCATATCATCTCATAAGCATTAGTAGATGCATCTGTTCACTTATTTGAGTGTAAATTACCCTAGAATCTTGTTGGACCAAATTGCTCAGAAAGGAGCAATTTTCTGATTAATTATTCATTTCTCAAAACCTGCAGACCTTCCCACATATGGTTTGTAAGTACACCATTAAAGAGTACCTGGAAAAGTTCAGTTATCTCTCATAGAACTCCATTCTCCCCCTCCCCCCTATGAGCCAGTTGCAATTAGCAGAGCATTATAAGATACATTCCCTTTTACAGTGTTTAGCATTTAAAATCCTGTTTGGTTCATTCTGAGTTCTTATGTCTCTATTAGTCACTTATATCTACTCTTTATCTCCTTTAATAGAAGTGGGAAACCAAGGGAAATGGTTGAATGGTAAATAACATCTAACTAAAATCAACAAAAATAGTCTATTAAGATTTATTCATTTGGGTAGGTATGAGAAATTAGAAGCATTTTCTGATGGAAAATTAAGAAAAAGGGAGGAAAAGTGCTTAATAATAAACCATCAGTGACTCACTCTTATGAGCTTATTTTTGTGATTAAGGGTTGAAACCTAAGTTTATGTGTGTGCAACCTTCCACTAATTGTTTAGGAAAGCCCCAGTATGGGCACACAAACATGGGTGTTGAGGCCAGGCAGACCTGGGTTCGAGTTCTGATTCTGCCATTGCTTGCTCTCTAAACTACAATAAGATGTTCAGTTACTTGGTGCTTGAGTTTCCTCATTACTGAAAAGAGGTACCAACCTCTCAAGGTCTTTTTGTTAGTGTGCGCGTGCACATGTGTGTATACATGTATGCATGAAGCATAACTTTTTGACTGGCCAAGAGCAAATATGCAGTAAATGTTGGATACTGATCACCTCGAATTCATTTCACAAATGTTTATTGGTAAGTACTATGCACTTAAGATAAAGTGTTTCTGTCTTGTGAAAACTCACCAATTTAAAACACCTACTCACGTGTAAATGTAAATAAATTGATTTTAATAAATTCTCCTTAAATGATTACTCTAACAAACTCTAAAACAAAGCTGAATTCTTGACTATGTTTAGATTTAAGTAATTACAGGTATTTATTAACTCATATTTTCTTTCCCAATAATTTTTATTTAGTTATTTGCTCTTGTCCCTAAATAACATCAACTATATATACAGATTTAAAGAGAAAAAAGCTCAAACAAACATCTAGTCCAAAGTAATCTTGTCTGGACCCTCTTTTCAATATTTGATTGTCATCATCTTACTTTCACTCACATCACATCTAAATAAACATTCGACTAAAGTATGGATTTTTCTGATGGTTTCAGCCCAGAACAGACTTTATCCAGTTCTGGTCAATAGGCTTTTGCCTGTGATAGCCACATAGGGTTCACTTCAAACACTTGTCTATAATCATAACTGGAAGTAGTCCTTTAACTAATGCTGCTTGAAGAAAATAAAAATACATTCTGAAAATGAACCCATAATGTGAAATTTTACTATACAGTTAACTTTACCATAATTCATACACAAAGTGGGTTTACCTTAACATATTTGCAGCCCACTTAGTACTGAAGACTATATAGACTTCCTGATGAGCAATGACAATAGCAAACACTAGGAAATGCCTTGTAGGAGAAAGTGCATTACATATATTAACTCTTTAAGGTCACAAAACAATCATATAATAGAGAAGATTTCTACTCTGACTTTAACTTAAAGTGTAAGAATGAATAACTGCTCAACAAAAGAGAAGCCCTTACAAAGCTTACAGTCTAATTGATGGGATAGACAGTTATCAAATAATTGCACAAATACATCTTTGTGTGCAATATAGAGGAAAGCCAGACCCTAAGCTAATCTTGGGAACAGGTAAAGCTTTCCTAAGAGGTGATATTTGAGCGTCAGTCACCAGGTAATTAAAAGTTGTATGGTTTTTTCTGACATCAAATATCATTCCAATACCAACCAACTGCAATTCAATTCAATTCAGTTCTGACACTACCCAGAGTGAGCACAGGCCCTACAAGTAAAGGGCTCAGCGCCATAAGTCTGCCCTGTTTCTGATCCCAACCACAAATGGGATCCCCTGACTACCTACTCTTCTGCCTGACTGACAGCAAATTTAGGCATTTCCATGACCTCCCCTCCCTGGATCATATCCCTCCTCCCAACCCCATGTTTGAGAATTCATCAGAATGGTTCATAGACCTCATGAAAACCATGATTTTATCTTTTATAGTACTATTCCTGTTGTACTATAAAAGATATCGCTCTGGAACAGCCAAAGGGAAGAGATGCATAAAAGCAAGTAAGGGGTTTGGGCATGGGGTGTTACACAGAGCTTCCACCCATTTCTGGTGGCCCACTTTCCCAGCACCTTCATGTGTTCACCAATATAGAAGTTTTTTGAACCTTTTTATTTGAGAATTTTTATTCAAGCTTCATTATAGAAGCATAGTTTATTGAGACCAATGGCTAATGATATAATTTCTAATGCTCTCCCCAGAGGTGAGAGGTGGAGGGGTCAGAATAGGGTTTGAGTGTAGGGTTGTGGGTCTGCAAGTTCTAATCCTCTAATCACATGTCCTCTAATCTCATGTTTAGTTTTTCTACAAACAGTTCTCACCCTATAGCTATCTAGGGGCCCCCCCAACACTAGAGAGATAATGAAAATTAGCATATGACATTGTTATCTCTTGGAATTCTACAATTTTAGGATCAATATGCCAATAACCAGGAACAAAGACTATTTATGTTGTATTATAGCATAGGAATTTAAGTAGCCCCTGTGGCAACCAGGAAGCTTGCTATTCACCTCTCCTTCAAAAGAATGTACTATGTGGCTCATAGTTAACTGACAGCCCCAGTCACCCTATGCTCTTAAAGTACACTTACTCTGCTCTTCCCAGAGAGTACCCTTTAATCCTTCCCAGGCATGCTCCCTATCTCCCAGTAGATCTCCCAATCCTGTCTACCAAAGCCTGGATTTTCTTTGCTGCTTTTCTTAAATGACAACTTGGTGGGCTTGCATTAGTGCAGTTCTGTCACTGTCACCATTTTTGTGCAAACTAAACAGCACACTGTCTTCCAGACTTCTGACCATAACCTGGAATAATTAGTCCTAGTACATGTGTGTGTGCATATGAAACTGTATGTAACTGAATAAAACTTCACAACAATCCTCACCCTTATTATATGGGATGTACTCTGACATTTTCTATTTTTATTCATTAAAAATAAATCCATTAAATTGATTTCATGACTCATTATCATGACCCATACCTGCAGCATGAAAAGCATAGTTCTATGCATGGCAGAAGAGGTTGTTGGAGTGAATGGAAAGAAAAGACATTTTGGTTTGATTAGATCAAATTTACCTTCCTGTATATGCAGTAGGATAGAAATTATTGTTCTGTTTAGAATGATTTTCAACTTTTCTACATGAGATTCCACTCGTCAGTATGGTATACATTTGCAACCTGCCAAGTCTTGGGGAGGAATCATTTTTGTTCAAATACAATATCATCAAAAATGAATGAGTATTTCTCAAAAAGTCTTTGACAGCTGAAACAGTGAAACAATAAATCAACAGGATGATGAAAGCTTGAAAACTCATAATACCTATAATAATCAGCAGAAGCATAGCAGAAATGAGGGGGAAAAAAGAAACTTAGTTCAATTACACAGTAAGGTTACTTACTTCAAAGTCAGTAGAGTGCTGTAAGGTTATACATATTGTTAAGGTTAATTGCATCTATTCCGAATGTATTTGAATTTGAAACAAAAGCTTAACAGGAAAAAAATCATCAAAAGGTGAAGACAGCTCTTGAAGGGTCTGTTCTCTATCAGAGAATCACTTGATGTTGGTTCCTTTGTTCTGTAAAGTTTGTAATACAGCCCCCTCTAAGAGGAACACTTAAAAGGCAATCCATTAAAATCCTATAGAAAAATTGAGTACATTTACCATCATTAAAACTGATGGACTAGTATTGCCCGGTGATTGCTTTGCTGTGGGACTAGTGAGAGCAGAATCCCATGCTATCTAATCTTGGCGGGGGTGGGGGGTAAAACTCGGAGCCCCTGCTTTAAGCTTTCTTTAAAAAAAAAATTCTTCATTTAAAAATATTTGACATTTTTTCACCTGATTATAAAATTAAAGTCATATTTGTTATGAAAACTCAAACATAAAAATAATATGGAAAAAACCCCTTGCAATTTCAAGCCTTAGAAATAAACATGTCAAGCAGGGTAGGTTCTGCTCTATGATTGTTTATGCCAAAAATAGAAGTCTTAAGAGTCACTTTTCCCCTTGATCTCTGTCTTGATCTATTCTGTCAATAGAAGGTGACAGAAGAAGCAGATAAGGTCTCCTTCAGTCTTTATTTCAATGTGTCACTGCTGGTATTACAACACCCCTGGAAGATGGTCCTTTGCTTGTGTTGTTGGATTTTAACTTGGTCCTTGTTTGTTACCTTCCTGTTGTTGAAAACCTAGTCAATTGGGATCTCCTTTCCTTTATAGTGGTGCTTGGGAGTCAGGGAATTAAATGTGAGACCAAGTACCTACATGTGCTTAAAGGTCCTGAAACCCAAGCTAGAAAACCTCCCAGTCCAGCTAATACCAGGCTTACAAAACCCTAATCAGCTGGTGCTCCTCTTCCCACCACCCTGCCCTGGTGATGAGTCCCATCAAATCCAGGCACCCACCAGTCTGAACTCAGCAATGTGGCTCCTGCCCTGTTGTGTGATCCACAAGAAATGACCCTTGCTTATTTATTGGTTCTTTCAAAGCTTGTGTGGGATTAGTTGGTGAAAGCCAGACAAAGACCCTTCAGAGTCAGCAACACTGTAGGCAGAAAATGTTTTTCACATTTCACTTGCACAAGCAAAGAACCTTTGTTCTTATAATGGATTCTTGGACAATATCTCCATGTAATGTTCTTTCCAAAAATGTTTAATATGAATATATAATCATGAGAATATCACTTCCTTAAATTCAAATTGTGAGGCATTCTATAAATGCTATAAGACAATTTACCTCGTGTATTAGCCAGGGTTCTGAAGAGAAACAGACCAGTGATTTACATAACACCAGCTAACACCACTTCTATTGTGAAGAATTGGTTCACAAGCTTGTGGAGGCTGAGAAAACCCCTGACCTGCTCTCTGCCTACTGGAGACCCAGAAAAGCTGGTGATGTATTTCATGAGGCCCGAAAACAAGGGAGCTGATGGTGCAGATTCCACTCAAACCTGAGGGCCTTAGTGCAGGCCCATAGAAGGCAGGAGAAAATGGTTCAGTTCACCATCTGGAAGAGAATGGCTCCAACCTTCCTCTGCCTCTTTGTACTATTCAGACCGTCAAAAAATTGAATAATGCTCACCCACTTCAGGAGGGAGGTTTCCTTTACTCAGCCCATTGATTCAAATGCTAGTATCTTCCAGAAATATGCAAACATACCCCAGAAATGTTTTACTGGGTAGCTGGGTATCTCATGGCCCCTAAAGTTGACACATAGCATGAACTGTCATTCCTGGGCTCTGCAAAATGTCAGTCATGAGAAGAAGAAACATGTTTGGGAATAGTTCTAGGCTATAGGAGTCTAAAAGTCTCTATGTGTGTAATGTATCACTGGATCCAGAGTGAGGGAAGGGGAGGGAGAATATTTAAAACATTGGAACAAGCTAAGCTATGGAAACAACCTTAATGCCCAAAAGTAGATGACTGGATCAAGAAGATGTGGTACATATACACAATGGAATATTACTCAGCAATCAAAAAAGATAAACTCATGCAATTTGCAGCAACATGGATGAAGCTGGAAGGGATCACGCTCAGCGAAATAAGCCAGAAAGAAAAAGAAAAATACCGGATTGTCTCACTCATAGTAGGAATTAGAAAACCTAAATAAGGGACCAGGAAAAAGACTAATTATAATAAAGTAAAAATCAAAGTCAACAAGCAACTATGAACCAGAGACACACTGAGCGGGGGAGGGGAGTAAGGATTAGGGTGAAAATAAGGGGGGTGGGAATTGTATGGGGACTATAACCAAGATGAAAATGCATACATTGTGCAAAAAATAAAAATAATGTAAAAATATATATAAAATTTTAAAAAATGAAAAAAATTGGAACAATTTGGAAGTTGGAATATGGCTATTAGCCAATGGTGTTTTTAATATTTGTTTCCTTGAGTGTAATATTAATAGTTATGTTTAGGGAGGAGAATGCCTTTGCTCCTTGGAGATCCCTGCTGAAGTATTTTGCAGTGATGTGTTCTGACTTTGCAGCTTGTTTTCATTTGCTTCAGAAAAAACAATAAAGGGGAAGAGAGAAAAAAAGTGAATGTGGCAAAACATTAACTGTTGGTAAATAGGTAAATAGTATATGGGTTTTCATTTTACTAAGATTTTCATTTTGCTTTGTAGGCTTAAAATTTAGCATATAAGTTTGGGGAAACCATCCATAATTTTAGATAGTATTCTAAAGTTAATTTTGAGTCTATTCTTTTGGAATCTGGAGAAGTTAATAGGAAGTTTGTTGCAAAGCTTATACTTAAGATTTCTTCAGCCTACCCTAGGTATATTAGATTTCAATAAATAATTTAAGGGAAAAATCTAGATGCAGAACCCTATTATCTTTTGTAGGGGAAAACTAGCTGATACCTTTTAATGAGATGCTGTTTATCAATATACTTTGTTTCTGCAGTGGTTCTTTTTACTCCTGGGACACAGAATGAACAGAGAATCAGTAATATGGGATATAGATGTTAGAAGAAGAGCCAGAACCAGAAATGTAAACAGAAAGTCAGAAAAACTAGTACATTTGTTGTAGAAGAAGAGTCAGCAAAGGGATTCAGTCACAGCATAAAAAAAGCTTGGTTTTATTCAATGTAATAAAATAGGACATCTATTACACAAAACATGTGTAAATATAATTACATATAATAAAAATAGATATCCCAGAATAAATGTCTTAAGCATAGAAGGCTATAAAATAAAGTCTGAAGGTAGGTAGTCCAGGACTGATCAAATACAAATAACAGGCATCTGTAATAAAGCATTTATTTCCTAGCAACTGTAATTCCTAGTAATTGTTCTAAGTACTTTATATCTATACTCTGAAAGGTAGACCATTGTTATGCCCATTTTATAGGTAGAAAAATAGAAAAACTAAGTAATATGCATAGAATAGTTAGCAAGTAACAGAATTAGGGTTTAAGGCCTATCAATTTTGGCAATGGATTACCATTAGTGTGGTGGTTTTATAGTCACAGAGAGCAGATTATGTCTGCCTTTCCACTTTGCTATTTCTTTCTTTTTTTTTTTTTCCACCTTGCTATTTCTGATGCATGTCTTCATCTTCAGGTTACCTTATTGAGCATAGGTACCAGAGTACCAGCTGCCTTGTCAGCCTTCCAGGAAGGGGGGTGACAGCAAAAAAGCTCTTCCTACTAAACTTTATTTGAAGGAGCTTTTCTAGAAATTCTTCTCAATGGCTCTAACTTGATAATTCAATTTTTTCAAACTTAATCACATGGTTATACCTAGCCATAAAGAAAATTGGGGACTATAGTATTTTATTTGGCCATATCATCAATCTGAATAATATAGGAGTACTATTAATATGGAGGTGAAAATGAATGGTTAGGTAGAAACAGCATCTTTCCTAGTTTAAGAATTAAGGTCATGGGCCTTGCTGGTGGCGCAGGCGGTTGAGTGCAGTGCTGTGAAGTAGTCCGTAGCCTCTGCAGCGCAGGTTTGATCCCAGCCGGCCAGCGAGAATCCCACATGTCGTGGCAGACCTCTCCTTTCTTGCCCGCTGCTCCCCTCAGCAGTATACTTCATCAGTCTGCCTGTTCTGTTCCCCGCTCTGTCTCTGGGGAAACCTCTCCCCATCCTGCGCATTTATTGTAGAAATAAATAAATCTTAAAAAAAAAAAAGAATTAGGGTCAGTCAAGGATAAGCACAAGAAGGAATCATGTGGTCAAATTGTCTCTGGGATTTTAGAAATGCAAATGGGCTATGTAAGGAAGAAAAATTTAAATGTAGTCCACATTCCTATTCAGCATACTGACTTTACAGGGTTGAGTTTTCTTCTGGATAATCTCTGTGAAGCTTTATGTTTTATATGTAGTTTAGGATTGTTTGTAACAGTGAACAATTCAAACAATTTAAATGGTTAAATGAGCAGTTACATTATGAGGCATCCATGTTGAAATTTTATGTAGTCATTTAATATTAATTTTGTTATATGCATAATTGGGAAAACTACTTATGAGTGAAAGTGTTTTAAAATTGGACTTATGATATGATTGCAGCAGTGCAATAGTATGCATAGGGTAGAAATTAGACTGAAATGTACCCAAATAAAATTGTAATTAGTGATCTCTAAGGGGTGGGATTATAAGTGATTTTTAACTGATCTAAAAATGATTTTCTGTATTTTTTTCTATGAGCATATGTTACTTTCAAAATGAGAAATAAAATTTCTTTCAGTGTTCTTCGTGGAGAACTGGTTATAAATCCCTTATGTTTTATATTTCTGTTTTTCCCCTTAAGTTTTAGAAAACCTTTGGGAACAATGTTTAAGATGTAGACTTAATCAAAAATTTGTCTGTTAATAATAGTAATGATTATAGCATGACTAGCCCATTTGATAATCTATTCAGATGCCAATTTCTTTATTACTCAGCCGTTCTTTAAAGATTACTAATCCTAAATATTGTCATGTTGGTAAAGACAGACTTCCTTGGGCTCCCTCACCAGGTATACTACCAGGTATACTACCTATTAACCTGGAACATTCCTCAGATTGTTATGTAGCTGGGAACCTTGAGAGATGAAGTACACTCTCTTTAGGGCAAAGATGTGGCTTGGTATGACCTGCTGTGAAAATTGAGGATCCCCCAACTCAGTGTTCTTCAGCTGGATGCAGACACAGCATGTACAGCCTCCACATACCGCCCCCCCCCAAAACACTGGAGCCCAGAGAAAACAAATGTAAACATGCTGGTGCTCATGCTGGTGCTGTGTCATGAAAAATAAATTCCTTTGTCTCTGATCCAGTAGTCTCATGTCTTCTGCCAGCATCCAAAATACTGTAACGGGCTGAAAGGTGAATTAGCTTACAGGTAGGGTCAAATCAAATTCCAGAATGGACATCTATATATTCTGATATTTTAAATTCCTTGCAGTTATTTTTATTGAGGAAGCAGTTGGTCTTCATCTCTGCTCGTTAATTGTTCATTTCTTAAATACAGTCTGTATAATAATGTGCTTTATATATATTCTTTGTATCTTTAGAATGAATCCTTATTACATTCTCTTTTCATAGTTGTTATCATATATAATATGTGTATGTTCTTTTAGTGAAGAAATATGAATTTTTCAGGTCTACTCTATGTTTGTTCAGGTTGGTAATTGCACAAAGTTGTCCGGCTAATGTATTTATAAAGCTGAAATACATGTGTCCTTTCCACCTGAAAGATACTTGTTCTTTAATTTGCATAAATTTCCCATATTTCACTAAGTCATGGGGTCTGCATGGGAATCCTGGGATGGATGGATATGTGTGTGTGTGTGCGTGTGTGTGTGTGTGTGTGTGTGTACCTCTTTCTACTTTCCATAAAGGCATTCTGTGAACAAAGACACTAATGACCTGATGATCTCTTGTTCATATTTCTTCTCTGCATATGTGTTCAGTCCTCTAACAAAAACTGTGAATTGTAGAACTAACCAGCTTCACATCAGACTCATGGGTATGCAGACAGTGTCTTGGGCTCTGCAGTTCTGAGGTCAAAGAGCATTCACAAACGCTTCCACATTGAAGATGTGGAGTGCTGGATGGGGGCTGATGTAATAGACTTAAGGGTCAAGGATGATTAGTCAATTTGATCTTGTTTTTTCTTTTGCACGGGGATCTTTTATAGGCTTTTGGAAACCTGAATGTTTCAGAAATTTTCACTAATATTGGCCAAAACCAGTAAGTTTCATATTCCTGCACTGAATATATATAGCAGAATCCAATATGGAAAGTCATAGCTAGAAAATAAATCTCTATCCTGTGCCTTTGATTACCTTCCTTTTTTTTTTTTTCAGTTTCACCAAGGATAAGGTTTTATTGACTATGAAAACCTCAAACGAATTTTTTGGTTGAATGGTAAACTTTACATGTCTGCTATTCTGCTTGAAATGATCTATTTGTAACTTTATCTTCTACATATTTCTGAATTTTGTCCCTGACTACCTTTTTTCCCTAGTAAAACCAATGTTGTTCCTAATTAGAAATTTAAATTACATCTTCTGCAGTTTGTACACACCAGGGCATATATTTATATAATACTCCTAGCCAGCCAAGATATTTTTCACAACTTCAACATAACATTTTTTCATTAAGTTTTTATTGATGAAGCGTTATAAAAATTGTGCAAGAATGTACACAAGAGAAGCAGTTGTGTAACTCAGAAGAGACCTCATAGGAAAACATTTCTTAAATGAATTTTTCTTACATATTATTTTTATGGTGCAGAAAACCATGTTTTTTTCTTTTTGACCCATGCTATTCTTTCATGTTTCTGTATAGCTCATTGAGATGAGCTGTTGGAAAGTGAAAATAATCTTACAAACTGAGATATTTCATTAAATTTCAATGAGGTAATTAAGGAAGCTCATTTTCCAAGATACACATTTATTTCAGTAGCTTGAATGTTGCTTAATCAGGAAATGATCAGAATACCAAGTATAGGTAGATTGGGCTGGTTGGGATCAGAGGCTTTGAGAGACAAACTGTTGAAAGGGATGGCGTGGAGGTTAAAACAGCAGAAGTCCTTGCTGTGGGTGGAAGCTAATTGGCTGAAAACATGAATAAGTTATACTTGTTATTCATGTCAAGGAGAAGCCGAGAGAGGAGGAACGGATACATCTATCTACCAAGACATTACACTCTGTCACATGTTATTAAATAATAACTAAAGCAGGTCCTTAGACTTATATCACTTTTCCTATAGCAAGTTAGAGGAATGTTGCTCAATTACTTGGCAATGCTTTCTTCTGAATATTATGATTCAGAGTTGGCATTTTTTAGCCAATAAAATATTGTTGAAAAGGTTGCTAAGGAATCCCTAACATAAAACATTTATTACTGGTCACACTGTCCTTGAGCCTGGGGTTATGTTTAAATGCTTTCAATTAAAAGCCTCTGATTTCAAGCCTGGATAATTCTTTCCTTCTTTTTCTGACTCTGTGCTATGTCTAGTACTCATAGGGTTACTCACATTCATGAGAGATTGATCACTGTTGTGTTCCTGAAACCAAAGATTCTAGCATGATGTTGTCAGACTTAAAGTTAGATTAGATATTGTAGAATAAAATCTTTGACAAATAGATTGATTTTTTTTCTTTCCATACCTTTCTACCATTTTCGTAAGAGAGACCTGTGGAACCTGGAAAATTCTCTGTGAAGCTACTTTTAGCAAAAGCCTGGCAATAAATCACTTTTTGCCATTTCAGATCCTGTCCTTTAAGCCTTAACTTGCTATTCATCTTCTCTGAAGTTTTCTACCCCTCTAGAGTTCCTATAATGCTCTTCTCACTTCTTACATCATTCCACTTTGCCACTTTTTTGAATATCCTTGCAGTGTGCTCCACTGGTGTCATGAATTGTTCCTAAGTATAAGTGATGTTAAAGTAGTTGGTATCTGTATCTGTTCTTAAAAATATCCTCTCAATCCTCATAATCCCCTAGTGCAACAAGTCCATTGTAGGTGTTCAGTTAAGCAAATTACTTTGGAAGTCAATCAAAAAGCTGATGTTAAATAAAATATATAACTGTCTTTAATTATTTTTAACATAGTTTATTTGTAGTTGAATTGGAATACCCCTCTCAGGTATTTCCACAATAGTGTATACCCATCACCCATTCACTCATGTTCCACCACCAGACAGCATTGTGTGCTTTCTTCCCTCTTTGTTCTTATCCCTCCACACTCCCTTCTATTCTTTGTATTTCAGTTCTGTAGTCAGCTTTCAAGGGTTAGTTTTTCAGCTTGAAAGACAGTCATATTTTATGCTTTCTATATTTAGCTGAAAAAGTCAGATACAGATACCCAGCTTGTCTAAGTCAAAAGTGATGGGTTTGAGTCTCAGTACTGTTGTTTCATCAATCTTGTGATCTTCGGCATATGATTTTACCTCTGTATTTGTATCAATGATTTATTAATCCTTAAATTCCCTCTTAGTCCCAAATTCCCCTTATCAAAAACATCAACATGACCTGGGAACTCATTACAACTGCATGTTACTAGACCCCACCTGAGGCCAACTGAATCAGCTCTGCACACTAACAAATTCTCCAGGTGATTCTGATGCAGCTAAAGTTTGAGAACTAGTGGGTCTGGAGTATAGTCAGATCCTACAGAAGCTGTATCACATTGTCACTGGACATTGAGGATTGTGTAGTTGTTTCTTGATTGGTATTGAAATCCTGTATCTTGTGTTTCACCTTTAAGATTCAACAGAATGGTTCACTATTGCATTATGTTCAAGTTTACAGATACCCAAAAAATTACACTTCTCAAGTTCCTATAAAGTGCTGGCAATTGAAGAATGAAAAATCTTTCTTAAGGTGAACCAAGAATATGCAATGGACTAGGGATTAATTTCCAGCTGCACTCTCCTAATTTTGTATTCATAACGTTGCATGCATGCTATGCTACACATGCAGTGTCTGCTGATATACATTAGATAATTGGGCATCCAGCAGTCCCATTTGCATGCAAAGGTGGTTGCATTTCTCCCATTTATAAGTCTAAAATTAAAGCCCAGTTTGAAGCTGGCTGAAGGTTTGCTGCTAAGAAAATGAGATAAGGAAGAAATGACTTCTGTTAATCTGCTCTTGTGGCCTCTGCCATTCAATCTTTGTTAATTTGTCCTTTGAAATTATACATTGTGTGTTGTAAAGAGAGCTTTCTAAGAGTCTGGGATTTTTAAAAACCTACGTTTATAAGCTGATTGTGTTTATCCATAGTATTGCCCCTAAAACTGTATCCACATGTATGCTGCAGTCTGTTGTTGTGCTATAATTTTGCTTTATGACACATTCATACTTTTTTGGGACCATGTACATCATCTCAAAGAAGAGTTACCCCTGGGACAGACTCATAGATGGTGTCTGTGGCATCATTGCATGTCAATCCAGTCTGCATTCATCAAGTAGCTACTTATGTCCGGTACTGTGCAGGGCTGGATGTATACAGATCAATTAAGGGCAATTTATGCCCTCAAAAAACTCACCATATCTTAGTAGCTCTCTGGTATCTCAGTGTTGGATACATTTTTTAAAGATTTATTTATTTATGCATCCAAGAACTGGGGTATAGGCCAGAGGTGTGGAGGGTGAGAGGATTCACCAGAGACAGAGTGGGGAACAGAACAGGCAGAATGACTGAAATACACTGCTGAAGGGAGCAGTGGGTGAGTCAGGAGAGGTCTGCTGCGCCATGTGGGTTGCTCTCTGGAGGGCTGGGGATTGAACTCGTGCTGCAGTGGCTGTGGACAGTTTCATAGGTTGCGTCTTAGCCCCTTGTGCCACCTGGGAGGCTCAGTGTTGAATATTTTTCCTTAAATGAAGTTTTCTCTGATTCCCCCCATTTGAAGTGATCCTATGCTTCTTTGAGCTCCTGGATATGCCTAACTTTTGTCCCAGGAAAACAGAGTCCAGTGGACCTAGGGCCAGAAGAGCCAAAGTCCAAAGCACGAAACTCCCATTTGGCTTTTAGATAGGTCATCGGGAGATGTCTGCCTTGCAAGGAGCATACAACCCCAGTTGGGGGAAGTTTGTGGGGGGATGCTTGAGTGTTTCCTATACTCCCAGAGTGGGTCACAGGGAAGAGAATGTCTATCCAGAGGCATCTCAGAGGAACTTGCCCATGAGTGCCACCTACAGGAACATTGGATTCCTATAAATTCAGTCTCCAGGAGCCAACTGTGAAGTTGTCACATGTCACTCTCCATCAATTGCTTGTATTTGTTTTACTTTGACAAGTAGACTGTAAGCTCCTGAACAACAGACCAGGGTCTTGGAAGATGGTCCTCTTCCAAAATACCTGTCTAAATACAGCATATCAGCAGGAAAAATATGTGGTGATTTATATGCATTAGTAGTTTCTCATGATAATAAGCAGATCTTTTCTTCTCATTCTAGCCCAGGAGCATACACCTTGATAATACCAAATGAAAATCGAAGAAAACAGATACAAAGAAGTATGTACATCTGTTCATTTAACATTTAGATTGCCTCTCATTTTCTTATAGAGTACAATTGATTTGCTTTGATCTGACGTATTTTTATTTTCTGACTCATATAGACTCTCCAGATCTCATCAAGATTTTTTTTTATTTTATCTTTAGCAATGCTAATTATACTTTAAAAAATTTCCCTATCGTAAATGCTTCTAAATTTGTTTCTCTGTGTTAATAGCAGAACTCATAGCATGATTGTAGAGTACAGATTTCTGTTGGCTTTAAACAACTTCACACCTATTGCCAAAAGACCCAATTTCACACCTATTGCCAAAAGTTCCTGTAAAGTTGGGCTGGCTACAGATAGTTTTATAGGCCTATGACTACTTTTGAAATAAGCATATTATATGTGAAATGGACCACGAACAAATTTGTCTGTTGACAGATCTTGGCACAACTGGAAGGCAACTCTCTAAAGGGTCTCCACCAGGCAGGTAGCTCCCTGGTAGTATAAGCAGGTCAGTGCAGAACTTATGATCAGTTATGGAGACTGACAATGGGCATTGCTTGCAACAGGTTCTGACATCTCACAAGATTTTGACTTAAATACCTAACAGAAATGTAAGACTTAGCATGCTCTGTGTTCTTGAAAACTTCCAAAATACCTGAATATTTTATAAAGTATTTTTCTCTAATAACTAAAAAACATCATAAGTGGACATTTGGAACCGTCAGGTCTCATGGCAAGGATGAGGATCAGAACCTGAACAGAATTAGTGTCTCTCTGGCGCCCCCTGTTGTCACTCACATGTACATGTAGGGACTGAGCACTGTTCTTTAAGGCTCACTCTGCCTAGTGGTTCCATTCCAGGAACAAGAGCGGAGGCTGCCCTCCCCCAACCCTGCAATGCAGAGCCCTCACCCCTTGTAGTTATAATTATCTTGGGGAACATTTAAAATAAAATGAGTATGGCCCTCAGAATTTTCTGGGTATATGTGTTTGTCTGTGTGTGAAAAGTTCTTATTGACATAAAAGTACAGTAGTTTAGCACATGTTCTCTATAGGAAACGCTCATTGAACATGAATTTGTGTAGGATTTTAAGAATGCCAGAAAAGGAGAAAAAGCTAACTTAGTAGCTCAGGCTGTTCTTCAGATTTGCACCTTTTGTTCAAGATCCTTAGAGAGGTGCATGGGACCCTGAGGGGTTAGGACTAAATGGTGTAGTTAACTGTCCTCTGATGGTTGTTTGTTATGGTTTCAAGGGACCGGTTTGTTTTTCACACTAATAATGAACGATTTGGTATTTCTCACCTGGCTTAGTTGCTGAGAAAGAGCTGGAGGACCTGGAGAAGTGGAAGGAACAACACAGAGCGAAGACAATTTCTCTGGCTCCAAGTCAGCTAGGTAAGCCTGACCTGTTGTCTGAAAGGGTGCGCACAGGGCCACCCAAGGATCCTCTTAGCATCTTGCCTACACGTCTTTGAAGTCTTTGAATGGATGGTATAGGTTGTTGGGTGCTGTTGCTTGAAATGGAATGAATTTTTTTTTAAGATTTATTTATTTATACATAAAAGAGCTGGGGTACAGGCCAGAGGCGTGGGGGGGGTGGTGGTGAGAGGATTCACCAGAGACAGAGTGGGAAACAGAACGGACTGACCAAAGAACACTACTGAGGGGAACAGCGGGCGAGCCAGGAAAGGTCTGCTGCCCATGTGGGTTGCTTCCTGGCTGGCCAGGAATTGAACCCATGCTGCAGAGGCTGCTGACAGCCTCATAGGTTGCGTCTCAACCCTTGCACCACCAGAGAGGCCCCTGGAATGAATTTAAAGTTGAAACTCATTGAATCTGCAGCTATATTGTTTGATTTTTTGCAAGAAGCAGACGTGTGATGCCACGGTGATCTGGCACACAAGCGATGGCTTAATTGCTAGATAATTCAGAACCTCTTGGATGAAAATCAGCTCTGAAGAAACTTACCTGGTGGCTGCATACACCTTGTCATAGCCAGGGGGGCGGGGAGAGTGGGGGGTTGGGGGGTGGACAAAAGCAATCACAGCACATTGATCATGGCAGTTAAATGATAATGTGAAAAATGTAACGGAGAGTCAATCCCAAAGCCCAGATGAGAGTGAACTAGGGACTCAGTGTTAGGAATAAAAAGAAACGTTACCTGTGTATTCAGTCTACAGGTAGAGACCTCTGCGCGTCTGCTGCCTGTGTGGTGAATCATTTGGGCAGCCTTTGCCTGGTGCTTGGATCATTCAGTGGGGATGCCACCTAATTGGTATCATTCATGTCCTTTCTTCCCTTTTCTGTTCCATCAGCAGCTGAGAAATTAAAGGACTGGATACATAGTTTCCACAGATTTAGTTACTACAAAATCAGGAGTCACTGTCCCACAGTTTTAGAGAAACACTTCTTTCCAGGTGAAAATAAACTAACTTGAAAATCATGTAATGAAAAAAATTAACATTATCAACCACATCCCTCTTTTTTCTTATGAAAGGTGTCAATCTCATCTTTATGCTGAAAAAATCAGATTTGAGGGGTATGACCAGGAAACAGCTCTGTCCTTCCAAATTGACCCCTCAAACCAGTTATTTTAGACTAGTTTTCCTAATATTCTTTGTCTGAAATTAGATTTTGTTTTTTCTCAAATATAGTTATACAGCTAATTCTAGGCATAAACCATTTCCATAGTTAATATTCATTCTTAGGTACTAGTCAACCTTTGGTTACTAATAGAGATAAAAGTTTCTTCCCTGCTTTGACCAGGACTGTTTTGGGTTAAAAAAAAAAAACAAACACAAAGAATTGAGACTCTAACCCCTCCCAGGTCAAAGGGAGAAGGGAAACAGAGAGTTAGGGCTTCCTAATGCACTGATTATAGATTCTTCAAGTTTTGGTGTGTGCTTCCTGCACATTCCACCCTGGGGATCTGTGTGTTCTGCAGGTCCCACCTTGCTTGCCATCCATCTCTCTCCTGGATTTTCCTGATGGAGATGATACACTTTCCTCCTGGCAGCACAAGGCTTTCCAGTTGGGTCTCGTGGGCTGTCTTTGCAGGGCTCCATTGTTCCTCTGGGTGGCTTCATGGGCAAATCCCTTAGATTGTCATTCTCTCTCATGACAACCCAGAATGGGAGTACAGAAGCCAGGCTACTTAGCACTCAACCACCTTCTTGGTGAAATGTCTGAGTTGCCATCTGAAGGCAGCCTTGGGCCTTTGGACTTTGCCTTTCCTGGCGATGGCGTCACTAGGGTCCTTAGTGTTAGAGATACAGGCTGAGCTATCCAAGAATTTATATTAAACCTTTCTTGCTCATCTTGACAAAAACATTCCTTCTTCCCCAAACATGACCATAGAAATGGAATTCACAAAGACATATTTCCTCAGGATCCCATCTCCGTTTAACCTAGTCAGCCACTTTTGTAGGGCAAAGAAGTTCCTACTTAAAGTTCCCCAAACTAGTTTTCAGTTACCCCATTGCAGAACCTACTTAGGAGTCCCATTTCTTTACTTTGGCATTCGGAGCAGTTGGCACCTACTGTCTTGGAAGGTTAGCTAAAAGTGAGCAGAAATCTCATTGTAGCTTTCTGTAATAGGATGATCCTTGATATGTGTGTAGGAAGAGGCTCAACATTTGAAAAGAAAAATGTTGAATGTATTAAACTTTTTTTTAAAGATTTATTTATTTGTGCATACAAGAGCTGGGGTACAGGCCAGATGTGCAGGGGGTGAGAGGATTCACCAGAGACAGAGTGGGGAACAGAACAGGCAGACTGATGAAATACACTGCTGAGGGGAGCAGTGTGCAAGACAGAAGAGGTCTGCTGTGCCATGTGGGTTGCTCCCTGGCCGGCCAGGGATCGAACTCATGCTGCAGGGATCGAACTCAGAGGCTGCAGATTACTTCATAGTGCTGTGCTTAACCTCTTGTGCCACTAGGGAGGCCCAGAACCTATTAAACTTTGAGATGAGGTTTGAACAAAACCTGCAGATACTTGGGTATCTTTCTCCATTTTTGTCTTTCTCAACTCTTCCCTGAGCTTTCTATCCCTTAAAATATCAGAATTGTTCTAGGAGATACTGATAGTAACTGTAGTATTAGATAAAAGCTTCAAGAGTCTTTACTATCCCACCCCCCAACTCCATCACCTGCAACAAAGTTAACCAAGCCAAACAGGCATTATTTACCTTTTGAGATTCAGAAGAAAAGTCTCTGTGGGGTCTTTATCAGTTCAATTACCAAAACTATGGTGAAAGCAAATTGTTCTAATGCATCTTCTATGACATGAATCTTTCAGAGAACAGACAGGTTTTGTGACCAAAGCACCAGAGAATGATTTCAAAGGAATCTTTGTGATACAAACACCAACCTTACATAAACATTGAAAAATCCCTACTAAACAGCAAGTGTTAAATGACTGCCAACCTGTAAGGATTTCTGGCCCCAGATTAGTGTGTACATATATAATCTAGCACTCATATTTTTCCTTTGGATACCTAAAGAGAAAACAGTGAATAGTATGAATTGACAATTACTAACTAGAATATTCTCATTGTACTGTTAAGAACTTGGTTGTAAGGATTATATATTTGTCTAATAGCAAACCCCCTAAGGTCATCTGAATTTTACTACTTGATTATAGGGCAAAAGAGTCAGAGAAGAAAAGTAATGCAAGAGTCACTGAATTGTCATATTCAAGCTGGAGGAAATACTAGAATTTTCAAGACAGGCTTTATTTCTTATTTAGCATAAATGTTCAGGTATGATTTCAATCTATATGAAAACTTGAAACCCTACGTGGTTGAAAATCCTTAGGATTGTCCTCTTGTTTCAGGAATATGGTCTTGTATAGCTGTTTTCTCTTTTACTTTTATTTTTTAAAGGTTGTACTGGTTTACAATCCTGTGTGGGATTCAGAGGTATAAGATCACACACTTTAGATATATGTTACCACATCATGCCGATCCCACTGTTTTCTCTTTTAAACAGTTACCATTTTTAAATATTTTATGAAGAAAGCTGGTTTTGTCCTGATTTTTAGGAGTGTGAAAATGCTAAAGAAATTCATAGTGTAGACATATCATGTGTTAATTAGTCCTCGATGGCTGACATTTCAACTTAATATTCATGTTTCACCTTTTTGACTCTTTTTTTCCTTAGGTGGAAGCCAATCAGAGGCTGAAGTCAGGCAGAAACAACAAATACAGCTGACGCAATCTAAATACCAGCAAAAGGTCAGAATCCATCTCTTTTAGTTTAATTTTGGCAAGGAATTTGAGTAACAGCACTTTCATGTAACCATGAAATAACACAGTAACTTTACCAAAAGCATAAAACATTTCAACCAATTGCAAAAGAAAACTCTCAACATCAAACAAATCAGAATGTGATAAATAAATAGGTAAATATCCAGAATTCTTATCCAAGAGATTTATCAGTTAGCAGGATCCTTGTCTAAGAAAATTTTTTTGAGTTTAACTTTACTATGTTTTGAATTTTTGGTTCCAAGAACATGGATTGTTTGCCTTGTGAAAGTAGTGAAAAAAGAAAGATTTAAAATGTGCAGTGATTTCCAAATGGACTCTGACTTTTACAATATGGAAAAATGATTTGTCCTTCCTTATTCCCACCTCAGGGTGGTAGGAAAGGGGAGAGAGACAGAAACCAAGAAATACAAAGAAAGAAATTTCATGGGCAGGGGATGTAGCCTGACCATTCTCTATGATCAAAGTAGCCTGATGACAAACCTACAATCAAGGCTAGAGAGAGCACAAACAATACCATAATTTGCTGTTCATTATAATATTGTGTTCCAGAGGTTCAAAGTAAAAAACAGTAACTTTATTCTGTTCTCTGTAATCTCAATATGATTTAGCTAAAAAGAGAGGAATCTATAAGAATCAAGAAGGAAGCTGAAGAAGCTGAAATCAATAAAATGAAGACAATTCAAAGAGAGAAGGTAAAGCAGGGAAAAGGATGATCAGCTAACATTTAATGGGGACTTACTATGTGCCTGATTCTCTTCTAGATGCTGTCTATATTTTAACTCATTTAATCCTCACAATAACCCTATGAAATATATATTATTCTTAGTACTCAAGTTTGCAAATGAGGAAGCTGACACAAAGGGTAGATTACTGGCCCCAGGTTCAGAGTCAGTATACAGAAGTAGGGTTCAAGTACAGGTGCACTGGCTTCAGGGCTAGAGTTCTTATCACCACATGGTTTCGCCTTCCAGGCTAGTGATCAAAGTAGCAGCTGGCTATTTGGCTAGATGGCAAGGCAATTAATAACAATGGCAATCAGTGATATACCTCCATATTTGCATACAAATATTGAAATTTCCATGGTATGAAAGAAACATATCTCCCTTACTGATAAAAGAAAAAGTGTGAATTTGCATTTCAGTATTAGTGAGGCAATCTGTTCTCAACCTCAATGTTTTGGGCTTTGATCCTTATTTGGGGCCTTAGAACAGAAATATTTTCAGAACTGCTCATCTGCTGGAGTCCCCTTGCTCCTACTCCCGGTCCCTATGATGTCCTAGGCAGTAGATTTTAGATCGTGAGGTTTGGAGGAAAGGTGACTCCTGGTGCTGACTGCCAAGTTGACAGCTACTGCAGATTTAAGCCATGGAGACACAAGCCCTGTGTCTGTTGTCTGTCTGCATCACTTTCTCTCCATTCCTCCTTCCCTTTCTTTCATATCTTTTTTTTTTTAAATTTTTTTTTGAGATTTATTTTTATTTATTTATACAAGCACTGGGTACAGTCAGAAGCGCTGGAGGGTGAGAGAATTCACCAGAGCCAGAGTGGGGAGCAGAGCAGGCAGACTGAAGTACACTGCTGAGGGGAGCAGCGGGCGGCAGGAGAGGTCTGTGCGCCATGTGGGACCCTCCTCCGGTGGCCGGGGATCGAACCTGTGCTGCAGAGGCTGCGGGCGCCACCGGGGAGGCCCCAGATCTTCTTTTAAAGATTAAATGTTGGTTAAAAATGTACACCTGACTACCAAGATATTTTTAGTACTTAGAGTTAATAATGTCAAAAGCAGATAGCTCATGGACTGCACTAGAGTATGCATGACTTTTCTTCCCCTAAAGAAAGCATTCTGTTGTGCTATGTGATTTTGGACAATCCCTCAGCCCTCTCTGAACTATTCCTGTAAAATGAGTCTGTAAGCTGGGCCTCCCCGGTGGCGCAGCGGTTGAGCGCTGGGTTGCGAAGCTGCCCGCAGCCTCTGCAGCGCCGGTTCGATCCCCGGCTGCTCCCCGGCCACTGGACGAGGGTCCCACATGGCGCACAGACCCCTTCTGCCGCCCGCTGCTCCCCTCAGCAGTGTACTTCGGTCCTTCTGCTTGTTCTGTTCCCTGCTCTGGCTCTGGTGAATTATCTCACCTTCCCGCGCTTCCGACTGTACCCAGTGCTTGTATAAATAAATTAATTAATTAAAAAAAAATGAGTCTGTAAGTTCCACCTCCTCTTCTCCCAAGGCTATCTGTAGAGATGCATCTGTAGAGAAATAGTCTTTGGGGGTGAAAACTCTAATGAAATGCTGGAGGTATAAAAAAGAATACATGAATAGTGTTCATAAAGTTTAATTCAGCAATCTATTCCCAGTTGATCAGTCAGCTATTACATTTTCTTTGAAAATATTTTTACATCAATATTTTAAAACCAGTCTTCCTTGCTTTCTACTTCTCTATTCTGCATTCTTATTCATCCAAATTTTTCTACCCCTCCCCTCATTTCTTCCTTTAAAGGTAGGTTCACACTTTGATCCTTTGATGGTAGAAGACGTTTCTCCTTTACAGAGCATAGTATGTCTATATTTCAGGTAGAACTAAGAAAATCATCAAATTACAACCTGGAACTGAAGTAAAAGGCTTGTAGATCTTGAAGAATTATTGAATTACAACCTCTTATCCTAAGTCATTTATATATTGTTATTTAATGATCATAATTGTTTGGTTTGTGGGTCACTTATAGCTCATTTCTTGATAGACCATATAATGCATACTGTTCAGAAATGTTACTGGTTGAATTAAAGCAGAATTTTCCCCTTTTCACATTAGAAATTAATTATAGACATTTCAATTGGCTTGACTTTTCTAATGTGACAACTGTAATGATCATTGTTATAAATCTGCTCAAAAGTGAGAGATGGGGAAAGCATTGATATGTAGATCCTTCCCAATCAAAGTGTGGTTTTCAAACCAGCAGCATCAGTTGTTAGTAATACAGAATCTTGAGCCCCACCCCACACCTTTTGAATCAGCATCTTCATCTTATTAAGCTCCCCAGGTAACTTTTGTGCATGTAAATGTTTGGGAGCACGAGTCTAAACTGCCATAGAAGAGAAAGAACAGCCAGCCTTGGTGCTTCCACAAACCTGATTTTTTCTGCCTAATTGGCCTACACTGCCACCACGACCTGGCACTTCTGTTGTGCATAAATCTGTGACTTTCCATACTAAATGTAAGCTTGTTTAGTACTTCATGTAAGAGAAAAGAAAAACAGATACTAACCATCCAGAAATGGCATATTTCACATTGCCAGTGTAAAAATGGCCAAGGGATGTGATAATGGCCATGTTTAGGGAGCACTTACTCTTTAAAATGCACAGCAAACACACGTGGATAACAGCCTGCAGAATACCACCCTCCTCCCCAGGCAAATGGCTGCTGCCCAGGGACTCTGAGCCAAGTAGAATCCAAGCCTATTGCATCCAAGAGCCTGTAATTGGCCTCTGGTCTTAATCTCCCTGGCCCTTCAGTTTTCCCTCTCCCAAAAGGGGTCAGCAGGGAACACTCATCCTAATTGTTTATCACCTATATTCCCTGCCAGCATTTGTGGGTATTCTTTGATCCTTAATAAGCACACATGTACAAAAGGTACCCAACTCTGTAGCATCTGATCATGTCAGTGGGGTCCAGGAAGAGTTAATCCCATGGGGAAGGGTAAGTTCAGAGAGGACATTGGGATGCTTCAATCAAACATGCATTCCCTTTACGAGAGTATGCTGATGCTATATATTTTTTCCAGGGGTCTACTGGAGCATCTTTGTACTGACTCATCAGAGTGAATTGTTACATTTTCAGAATTATTGTGAACTAATTGACTTCTTTATTGGTAGCTTGAAATGGCCAAGGAAGGAGTATTTTCGCCATGGAAATAAGTAAATGCGACAACCAACATCCTCTCCTCCTGTTAGAACTGGTTGTTAACATCTGTCAGGCCACCACTGCTTAGCCTGGAATTAAAGGGGTCCTCCCTCACCCTCCCCTGGCACCAGCATTCCAAAGCCAAACCTAAGAAGGGCAAAGACTATGAAGTATTTGTTGTATTATGTGTCTGATGCTTACAGATTTAAAAAAAGATTATAAGCCATGTGGTAGTCAGTATTCTGACACCCGCTCCTCCCCCTCATTCTAATCCATAGAACCAAGGGATATGTTATGTGGCCAAAAGGAATTAAGTTTGGAGGTGGGTTTGGAGGTACAATTAATATTCCTAGTCAATTTGCCTTCCAACAGGGTGTAGCCTGCATTATACAGGTGGGATCAATGTAACCAGAAGTGTCCTTAAGTTAGAAGAGGGGCAGAGACCTCAGTGGGGTCTTAAATAATGCTTAATGTATTTCTAGTTTTGAAGATGGAATCAGTGGTCATTAGCCCAAGGAATGTGTGAAACCTCTAGAGGCTGAAATGGCAAGGAATCTAATTTTCCTTTGGCGCTTCCAGAAGGAACACAGTCCTGCTGACACCTTGATTTTATCCCATTGAGACTCATTTTGGACTTCTAGCCTTCAGAACTGTAAAATCATTAATAAATTTGTATGATTATCATTAATGATTTGGTTATTTGTTACAGCCGCAATAAGAAACAGATATAACCCTTATGTTTTATAATGATGTTTTTATTTCTTTTTCTGGAAATTATATATTGCAGAGAAAATACCTCTAAAATATTAGAGCATCACAGAAAAAGAAAGTTGCTAAAAAATAAAGGCAGTATACTAGATGAAAGTGCTTTGCCTGCGGACCTTGCTGCATAAGTAGACGAGGTTTCTATCCTCACAGTAAGTCATTCATCCAAATTTAGTGCTGTGGTGGTAAATCTCCACCTTAATTTTCCTTCCTAATCACATCAATAAATTAGGCAATAAATTTGTTTTTCCAGATGTTCATGATGCCCCAAAACTTGAGAAATGAAAATCTTTTCAGTGCCCTCTGTTCAAACCTCTTGGGCAGCAAGCACCTCACTCCCTGGAGTACGGTAGCCCTCTTCCCATTATCTCCTTTTCCCCCATGAACAATTCTTACTTGTTTAAGGTTGATCTCTATGTAGAAATTCTCCCTTTCCTTAGTCCCACACAAATTCTTCATTTAGTTATCTGCCTTTTGGGGAATCTAAGAAAGTTATGAGCCCAAGTCTCCATAAAAACATAGTCCTAATGTACAGTTCACCTGTGAATCCAGGTTAGAAACAACAGTTTTGAGTGTTACTCAGCTCCCTGTCAACCATGTCTTTGATGAGTCTGCACTTAGAGGCACTTTGTGAATGTTTGTGAAACTGTTGAGAGCATTTTCCAAATGCCTACTTCTGTGCTTTTTTCCTGTTTATCTTATACTACTTGCAAGCGTCTATCCCTAACCTTTTTTACATACTGCTTCCATTGTTCTTGAGTCTATATTCCTAGTAAACTTTTGAAAATTTCTGGGCACTGATCTATGCATATTATTATTCTTGACATCTAACATAATACTAGATATGAAATAGGCATTTGATCAATGTTTGTTGTTCAGTGGAGACTTAGTAATATTAAAGGATTTGTTTACAGTCACTCAGTAAGTGATAGTAGACCTAGAATTGATTCCACAATTTCTTCAGGATTTCATGTTCTTAGATATTTTACATTTTGTGTATATGTGTATGTGTGTGTGTGTGTATGTATACATATTTGGGTGACTCATTAACTCACTGTTAAATGGAAAAGAACAAACAAATACTAGGTACTAAATCCAAGTATCTGGAATAGTACACTAAAATAGGTAACTACATTGGTAGTAATAAATAAAATTCCTCACATACTCTAGCATTTTGCCAGAATACTCCTCTATCAACTTTTGAGGGATAAACAGATCTTTGGATAAAATTTAGTGGCTATATATTTGTTTTTATGAATTGAATTCAATAATAACCTATTAATGAAGAGATTAAACCTGTTTTTCACATTTTGGATCTTGCTAAGGAACCCAGCCCTGGCACTTATGTGATTTTTCTCTCTAGCATTCCTTCAAGTGGCATATCTAGTATTGGTTTAATCAATACCTACTGTTTGCTTTCTGTCTTTTATTTACCCTTTTAATTTTTTTTCAGAGGCATGTGAATCTCATTACATGTGTAAGGATTTTTCTTCCAGATTCAGATCATGCTTACTCTGTTTTACAATTTTCCATTAGTTTGCTTCCCAGAGTTCTGTGTTTCATTAATAATCTAGTTACTTTGTATTATAATTGATTCCCATAGATTATAATAAATGTCCTTTTTTTCTTCCTGAAACTGAAATCATCCATTTTGTCTTTCAAAATGAAACTAGTAAGAATTTCTGTGTGAATGAAGACTTTCATGTAAATAAACAATAAGAACAATGTTTGCCTCTTATTGGAAAACTAGAACCAAATGTATGTCAGGATTTGGAAGTGATGATTTCTATTATTCCCTTTTCACAGGTCTTCCTGCTGGGCAAATCCAATTCGTTTTATTAAAGCAAACCCAGCTGCTTGTGTCTCCTTTGGATTCACTTTAAACTTCAAGTTTCCTCTATGTTGTGGAAATTATTTCAATTCTCCATTAAATTTGTTGTCTAGGAATTTTACTTGCTTTTCATGGGCAAGTTTAAAAAAAAAAAAGACAGTTGTGTCATAATGAACAAAAAGCAAGTGTTCCTTGGCTATTGAAATTGGATTAAAATACACAGAATCATGGAGACAGTAATATCAAATATGAAGTCCTTTGTCTCTAGACTCTGTAAAAAACTAATTAAAAAAAGAGAGAGAGCATTCTTTTCAAGCGGATTTTTTAAAAATGACATTTGCTGTTCAGTCTCTCAACAGCTTTTTAAGTGTCTGCTTCTCACTCATAAGGGAGTTGAGTTGGCTTATTGAAAATCTTTTCCTGAATGCTTTAGTGGAATGTGAGTGTATATATAAATATTGCATGAACTGTTTAACCATTCATTATTTTATCTTAACATACTTGGTGCAGAAATTTCATGTTTCCTTTAGAACATTTTGAAAAACTGCTTAAAATATACATGAAATTATTATTTGAACTGAAGAATAATAATGTGAAATACTGACTGTGATTATACTAACCAGTTGGAAAGGGGAAGTCATGGAAAGAACTCTGGGCTCCTGGCTCTCAGTGTAGTGCTCATTGGTTGGAAGAGGAATGTTCCCTTGGGAGCCCTGGTAGACTACTATTGGACTATGAAGTCTACTTTAGCCTGAGGATTTTGGACCTTGGGTAAATTTACCATCATGGTTCTACTTGAAGCTTCCCTCACAGATTACGTTTTGATATTTGCCATTTCAGAGCAATAAACTAGAGGAGAAAAGACTTCAAGAAAACCTAAGAAAAGAAATATTTACAGTGCATCATCAATAGTAAGTTTGTGTTTTCAGAATTTTCTACCTATGTTGTTCATTCTGCTCTTAAATTCTAGTGATGCATTATTGGCTGTTAAATTATATAATTACTCTGTCATTATATAAATGAGTTTTTAAGGTTGGGGTCATCTATACTCAGCAACATATTCTTTACTGGTCAGTTAATTAGAAATAATACTAATGAATTTGAGGGATTCCCCATTCTAAATAATGGAGGGTTTGATCCTTTGATGACCCTGGGTTCTTCTAGTTATGTTGACTACCAAACACTGACATAAGGAGGAGAGTATTTGAAAAGAAGGGACTAGGCACTTATTAACTAATGGGCTGATGATTATTACATACTTATATATCTATAGCCAAGAACTGAGAAATCATTTAAGTTATTGGCAAAGCTCCCAATTTCTGATCATATACCATGGTATTTTTTCTATTGTCCAATATGTATAGGGCAACTCTTAGGTTTACAATGTAGTTAATCTAGTCTGTGAAGTAGACTTTAAATATAAGATTATATCCTAATTCTAACTAGATTGCTGGCAAACTGCTTAAAAAAGTAGACAAAACCAATGAACCATATTTCTGGTTCTAGTTTAATTCCAAATGTGATACAATTAAAATTAAGCAGATATGTGTTAAAAATCTTAGTTCCATTCTTTAGATGTGACCTTGGACAAACATCTAAACATCAGTTGATTTTCTTTAATAGAGATGATAATCTCTCTTTATATACCATTTGTAAGCATTAAATAAAGTATCTTATATAAATGTCACAAAAGTACCTGAATTTTATTGGGACTTGAAATGAAATTTTACAGAGGCTCTTGTCGAATAAGATCATACAACTTTCATTTTATATACACTGCATAATAATTTCTGTTCTCACCGAAACTGGCAATTGACCTCCTGGTTTTATATGGATAGTTCTCTGACTGCTTCCTCATCCCTCTTCCTATTATTGTACCTCACTGGTGAATTTAAAGTTATTTTGATGTTGGGTTGCACACATGTGACTTCCTAAAGTATACTGCTTCTGAGCACAATGTCCTTTGATTTTCTCATTGCACTGAAATTATCCTGCCTCTGTCATAAGCATTTCCTTGCTTTAAGACTCAGAGGTGTTAGTGGAAAATGTCAAGTTTTTCAGTACTTCATTTTGCCCTTGGTAAGTTAAGTACTTGACCTCTGTTAGGCCACAAAATGCATGGTAGATGGGATGAAGTTGAGTGGAAGTGTTAATGAGGGGTGTTTTCCTTTGTAAGGAATTATCCTCCTTTATATCCTAGAATCCAAGACCCTACTCTTCTTCTAAGGCAGGCATGTGAGTGTGACAGACTAGATGGGAAGCTAAATACCAGGATATATTGGCTGTCTTCATGAGAGAAAGTGAAGAGAGTTGGTAAGAGAGAAAAAAATGATTAACAGGGTCAATGGATTATTGCCTTAACTTTATGGGCAGTGAAAGCAAGAGAGTTTATTTCTAGGAGTTCAGATAAGGGAAGGCAACAATGAAGGCATTAGTGGACTAGAATCACCAGAAGAGCAACTGGATTTACTCTGTGGCATCCTAGTTTTACCCTAGAAAATGGAACCAATCAGTAATGTTAGGTACAGGCTAGGAAGTTGAACAAGTCCATTCTCTGTAGAGTTTTAAATTTAAACATTTTAGTTTATATACATGTTGATTCTCATGATAGACACCTGAACCACAGGTAATGTTATAATGTTACTTCAATAAAAAATAAACAAAAAAAAATTTAGTGAATAGCAAAACAAAACCAAAAATTATCCAGTAAAGGAGGAGAGTCTCTTGTAGTTTTAAAGGATGTAGGAGGTTGTAACCAACCTCCCTTCTTTCCTAGTCTCCCAGCTTCTTGAATTTGTGTTTTACTAAATGCTAGAGATCAATCACCCTTTTTCTGTAAAGGGAAAAAAAGAGTTTTACCCTCAGCCACCTCACACACTATCAGTGGAGCTGAATTCAATTACACGCACATTTCACTCTCACTCTCTCCTCTGCTTATCGCGAAAGTCCCAGTTAACTAGGAAAAAGAGAAGCTGGCTAAAAATGAGAAGTATCTCAAATTGATTTTTAAAGCCTATTGAGAAACACAAGAAGAAGTATATGTGTGAGTTTTTTAAAGAGTATTTTGTTTTAGACCACTGTTGAAATTAAACGAGCAATAGTTCATGAAATGAATGACCATTATATAGCTAGAAATATGAAAGGGACTTCTTAGAAAAGATGGATCCTCTGTATAAGAAGCCTTTATCACACTTTCCTGGAATCAGTTTATGGTGAAAAAATTGTCTAGGAGAGTTGTTAGAATTTTAATGACTCAAAGATTTCTCCAGACCAACCAGGCTGTTCCCCATCTCCTCCTCCCATATTAGATTCTCTTGCAGCTGTCAAACTTAGGAACAGAATAGAAACACAAATAAATTCTTCCGAACTAGTCAATACCTCATGCCCTTGCTAGTTTCAGCAGGCTGTGAAACATGGTTCAAATAGACCAAGAATGGTGGGTGTTTTTTTTTTCCCCCTTTTTTTTTTTTTTTTTTCTATAGAAAAGGACAACCATGGGCTTGAATACACAGTAAATACATGTTGTTGGAGAAGAAAGCTCATGATAGCATCTTGGGGCACCACCATGAGAATCTTAATGTGGTCTTCTTAACACCTTGTTACCGACTTTGTTCATTTGCGTTTGATTATTTTTAGTGTTGTCAATTATTTAGCTAACAGGCAGAAAACTAGGCTTTTATTGACATCTAAAGGGACTCTCCTGAGTGTAATAATGAAGGCAGTTTATCGAATGCCTGTGAGGTTGCTTTCTAATTGTACGCATTAATCTGCCCATGCAAGCTGGCTGAAAATCCACAAGCAGATTGCACGTGCAGATGGAGCACACAGGATGGTTTTTATGAAAAGACCTCTGGAATGTACTTCTGCAGTACTGTCTTTTCCCTAGAAATTGAATGACTGTGACTATTTCAATTGGTGGCTGGGAGCAAACCAGATTAATGGTGCATCAAGTCTGCTACTCTGACTGGGGACATACCCAAATTTCACAATTTAGAGTTATTTCTATTATTCTTGAGCATGAACATAAAGGGTCAAAATGGGCATCTAAGGTAGGTGTAGCTTCTATTTTTACTCTCTAGTTATTTACCACTTACAAAATGTCAAATGTAATACTTTTCAGGAAGAGCCAGTATATCCACCAATATTGCTGGTAGATTTGGTGATTTGCAGTAAGTTAGTAAAACTGCTTTTGTTTTTATAGCAAAGAGAGGCTGTTGGTCCACGTTATTTAAAACACTGAGTAAAATAATTCACAGCATTAAAAATGTTAAATAAGAATTTATTTTGAAGTTACCATCACCTTTCTAATAGTTTTTTGGATGGAAGTAGAAACAGGTAGAAAATTTTCTGTAGAAAATTCAAACAGAATTTTGAGCTTGTTTAACCAGGGGTGAGGGCTAAGGTAAGATGTGTGGAGACATTTGAGTGTATTTTGTGTGTACTAGGAAAAACAATGTTCTCTTAAGGATTTGCTGGTGAGATAAGAATTGGGTATCTTTTAAACACTTAAAACATTTAAAATGTTAATACCTAATAACCATTTCATGCAATATGTATATTTTTATAGATATTAATGTGTGTAGTTTTTAAAAATACAAATCGCTTGGCTCTTTTAAATAAGCAAAGTAATAATAAGCTGCCGTATCATTGAGATCTGTGGGGGTGTCAGGAGTATTAGGCACATTATGTACCTTTTTGCAATTAGTACATCATCCTCATTTTACAGATGGAAGGTTTGAGTAATTTAAATTGTGCAAAGTCACAGAGCCAATAAATGATGCAGTCAAATCTTGGTCTTGAGATACAGGGATTGGGGGGAATAGGGAAAATAGGCAATTCAGAGGCATGGTAAACTTTGAAGATCAGGAATGTCTGGCTAGGATGGGGATGATGAGTGCTGTATGACAGGTGATACTATGGAGAAGACTGGAGAGTAGGTTAGGTCGATTCAGAAAGAATGACTTGGCCAAGTTGATTTCCATCTTCCTACCAAGACCTATATTTTACCTAAAGGAGAACAAAAGAAAAACTGAGGAAGTAGGTATCTGCTTTCTCTGGTTTTCACCATATGTGAATGACATCATCTTAAGGTTCAACACTGGGCTAGTACCATAATTAAACTTACTGTAGAGTAGATGGACTTTTGTGGCCTCTCCTGGCTATACTCTACTCCTGTGTAGTTTCTAAAATCTCTAGGGGAGAAAGGCTCAGCTTATAAAGCCCCAGTTGGGAAAGCTCTTAGAACCAAGCTCATTTCAAGACTGGACATTTTCTTAAATTTCTCCAAAGAGAAAATGCAAATGGCCAACAGGCATATGAAAGAATGTTCAATATCACTTGTACTCAGGGAAATGCAAATCAAAACTACCATGAGATACCATCTTACACCAGTGAGAATGGCACATATTAAAAAAACTAGCAACAACAAATGTTGACAAGGATGTGGAGAAAAAGGAACTCTCCTGCACTGTTGGTGGGAGTGCAAAGTGGTCCAGCCACTATGGAGAGCTGTGTGGAGATTTCTTGATCTACTAAACATAGAGCTTCCATATGATCCAGCAATTCCACTCCTAGGTATTTACCCAAAGGACACAGAAACATCAATTCCAAAGGGCACCTGCACCCCTATGTTTATAGCAGCACTGTTTACAATAGCTAAGCTTTGGAAACAATCCAAATGACCAAAAATAGATGTCTGGATCAAGAAGATGTGGTACATATACACCATGAAATATTACTCAGCATTCAAAAGAGATAAACTCATGCAACTTGCAGCAACATAGATGGTGCTGGAAGGGATCATGCTCAGCGAAATAAGCCAGAAAGAAAAAGAAAAATAGAGGATGGTCTCACTCATAGCAGGAATCCAGAAAACCTAAGTAAGGGACCAGGAAAAAGACTAATTATAATA